GGATTGTAGCTGGCGTCTCCTACGATCATACGTGCCGCGGTTTGTTCAAAGAGATGCGCATACTGCCGTTAGCATGCCTGCTCATACATGAGACCCTTTTACATGTTCACGCGCAACCTGAGTACTTTTTTCGATAAGATCAGAGACACACAGCTATAATACAAGATACGCTAATGATATATCATTACCCGCAATCTAGGATCGCCATGACACAAACAATAAGATTAATGTGTCGCTTTACAATAACTTTGTTAGATATCATAAGCGGTCCAATATTGAGAAGATGTCTAACAAACAGTTCTCTAGGTTCGTCAAAAACTATTTGTTAAAAAAACTGTTTCTATACTGTAAGTGAATATTTAAGTGCATGTGATCCTAGTGATCAGTGATCGTGTGTAGAGCAAGAAGACAGACTGTATAAACTTATCTAGTTTGTGACCTCAAACATGTATCTATATGTATAAGTGGTCAATAAATGGTATGGTATGGTATGGTATGGTATTATTATTATAATTACTGTAATTATTACTATTATAATAATAATAATTATTATTATTATTATTATTTTATTATAATTATTATGGTGTTGTATTATATAATTATTGTAATTATTATTATTATTATAAGTATTGTAATTATTATTATTATTTATTATTATTATAATTATGATTATTTATTATTATAAATTATTACTATTATAATTATTATTATATAATTATTGTAATTATTATTATTATTATTACTATTATTATAATGCTTATTATAATTATTATTATTATAATATTGTATTATAATTATAATTATTATAATTTATATTATATAATAATTATTATTATTATTATGCTTATTATTATTATTAATTATTATGATTATTATATTATTATTATAATATTATGATATATTATTATTATAATTTATTGTAATTAGTTATTATTATATAATTATTATTATTATTATGATTATTATTATTCATATATTTATAATTATGATTATTATTATAATTATTGTATTATTACTATAATAATAATAATCATTATTATTATTATATTATGATTATTATTATATAATTAATTTATAATTATTATTATTATTATTATTCATTATTTATTATTATTATTATTATAATTATTATTTAATTATTATAATTATTATTATTATTATATGATTAATTATTATTATTATTATTATTAAATTATTGTAATTATTACTATTACCAATTATTATTGTTATTATTATGATTATAATTATTATTATAATTATGATTATTATTATAAATTATTGTGATTTTTTTTTTTAAGCCCACAGCGGCATCTGACTCTAGGTATTAGCCGCTTCCCTCCCTGCCTCATTGGTCATATATTTTTTGTTTGTTTTTTTTTCCAACCTAACAATCTCAGGGTAGATCTGAGATGGAAATAGAAAGACACAGGACAAACATATATGGTATAAATAACAGTAAGTATAGTATACGACAAGTTCAATATTTACTCCGCATGTGACTGAGAATCTTTAATAGCTAAGCTGCCTCTTCAGTTATCTAATGATGTGACATCCACGGTATACCATTTTATTTTCAGAGCTGTCCAGTATGATACAAGGATAATAAGGTAAGACCAGATAGGTATGGATGTAGGTGAGAATGCGTCGTAAAATGTTGATGTGGAAGTGGCTGGAGACGTAACGAAATAGGAGTATCTATATCTTGGTGTATGTATCCGAGCGCAGCAGGAAATCCATAACTTTTGGCCATTCCGTTTTGAGCAGGGTTTGTATATTGGAAGACATCTGTAGTTCCCTGCGGAGATCACTGTAGAGTCGACATTCCACCAGAATGTGTTGAACAGTGAGGTCTGTTTGACATGCTAGACATTGTGGTCTGTGATCGCCGGCCAACAGGTACGCATGGGTCAACTTACAATGGCCAATTCGTAGTCGGCATAAGACTGTCTGCTGCCGACGATTCAGTTGCTTCGGATAAGTCCATTTTTCGATACTTGTCTGAACGGATCTCATGTGTCCGTCATATAGGTCCCATTTGTGCTGCCATGCTTGTTTTGTAGTGTCTTTTAAGTGTTTTACATAGTCAGATAGCGGAGTAGGAATGCCTTCATCCGGTGGCATGGTGGCTGCTTGCTTTGCCGCTGCATCAGCCAATTCATTGCCGATAATATTCACATGACTAGGTACCCATATGAAACGGACTTTTTTATGGTCATTTTCTAGTGAGCTGGTTAAGTTCAAGATTCGACTTATTCTTTCATCCTTGGTGAAGTTATTTCCTATGGAGCTGATCACACTCAGAGAGTCTGATACTATCGAACACGCTAAGCTAGATGACAATGCAAAGAATAGAAGTGCCTGCCAGGTGGCATAACATTCTGCAGTGAAAATACTTGAAATCGGATCCAGGCTCCACATGTGGCAAACACTGTTAACTACTATTGATGCTCCCACTCCGGTACTGCTCTTAGATCCATCCGAGTATATGAAGAGATGATCGTGGAGGTGATCTGTAATTTGTTTGAAACGAGCGAGATACACCTGGGGTGCTGTCTCATTTTTAAGAAATACAGAAAGGCGAATATCAATATGTGGCTTTGACCTAGTCCAAGGTGGAGTGTCGTATGGGGCTCTCTGCAGCACATCCCTTATTGATATGTTGTTCGCTTGTTGGAATTCAAGGCTACGGATTCTGGCTGGACGTGTATACGTTGGACGATTTGTATGTTCGTTATCGCTTTCCAATATACTCAGATTAATATGTCTGGTAAGAGATTTTATTTTAGTCATATAGATGGCAGTTTGCATTTCACCTCTTAATTGTAAGGGTATTGCTGCAGCATCACAGAGGACGGCACTTGAAGGACTCGTACGAAAAGCCCCTGTAGCCGCTCTTAGGGCTGCCAGTTGAATCCTTTCAAGTGCCTTGATCTTGGATGGTCTTGCAGAATTGTAAACAACTCTGGCATAGTCAATTCGAGACTCGATTAGGCTCTTGTAAACCTTTATGAGAGCTTCGCGGTCTGAACCCCATCGGGTATTTCCTATGCATTTGATCAGGTTGACGGATTTTCTACAACGAGTTGTGAGATGTTCAATTTGATCCTTCCAGTAGAGCTTGTGGTCAAAAATAATGCCCAGGAACTTAACAGAGTTTTCAGCTTTTATAGTTTGTCCTCTCAGTGTGAGAGAGACCTGCGGATGTGCTGTGCGAAGTCTGCAAAAATGGATGCACGTCGATTTTGTTGTTGAAAAGGAATACCCTCTATCCCTTGCTATACAGTCTAGTCTGTTTATTTCATCCTGCAGATGGTCCAAGTTTCCATCAACTGCGGCGGTGGAGAATATGCAGAGATCGTCTACATATAAGAGGGGTTGAATGTTCGGAGGAGTGCTATCAACCAGGAAGTTAATGGCTACGATGAATAGTGAAACACTTAGAACGGATCCTTGTGGAACGCCATTTTCCAACCTCCTTGTCGAGGACCTAGAGTCTCCGACCTGGACTCGGAATGAGCGATGAGACAAGAAATTTTGGATAAGTTTTGTGAGATTGCCACGAAGACCCCATTCGTGGAGCTGTTTCAGAATACCAAAGCGCCAGGTCATGTCGAACGCTTTTTCCAGGTCAAACATGACTGCCGTTAGGTGTTGCCTTTTAATGAATGCATCCAGACTGCATTTTCAAGATTTACGAGTGCATCTACCGTGGAGTGGTACTGCCTGTAGCCGACCTGATTGTTTGAGATCAGCTGGTTATGTTCTAGGTACCATACTAGTCTAAGACTTATCATTCTTTCAAAGAGTTTTCCCAGGCAGCAGGTTAGCGACACAGGTCGATAGCTGTTAGGTGAAGTAGGGTCTTTACCGTCTTTGAGAATGGGTACTATAATGGCAACCTTCCAGGCATCAGGGTATATACCTCGCACCCACGCATTATTGAATATCTGTAGTAACTGAGTTTTGACAGACCTTGGAAGGTTTCGAATCATGCAGTAAGGTATCATATCTATACCCGGTGCAGAGTCTTTACAGTTCTCTAAGGCAGACTCGAGTTCTTCATATGAGAATGGTGCATTGTATAGATGTAGTTCCGATGTGTCAAAATTGATTCCCTGTGCTTCGGAATTTAGTTTGAGCTGCTGAAAGTTGGGATCATAATTTGCATTGCTGCTAGCGTGTTCAAACTGGTCTGCAAACGTGTCGCATATGCAAGAAACATCCTCGATTACCGAATTAGCTACCTTCAAAGCGCTTGGGGGTCTAAACGGATTCCTGCCTGCAATAACATTGATCTTTTGCCACATCTGTTTGATAGGTGTTTCAGAAGTTATGGACGAGACATAAGTTTCCCATGATTTCTTTTGGCTCTCATTTATGAGCCTTCGTGCTTTAGCACGTAGTTTTTTGAAAGAGATCATGTTGGCCATGGTTTAGGTTGCGCTTGAATCTATTCAGAGCGGTTTTCTTCTCGTTGACTGCATTCTGAATGTTTTCATTCCACCACGGCACAGCTTTATTAGATGAGGTCCCGGATGTCATGGGAATGCTAATCTTTGCTGCATCTGTTATAGCGTGTGTGATATCGTCCACTGCTATATTAATGTCTTCAGTTAGAGGAGGGATACGAAGGTGCTCAGAAAATGTGTTCCAATCAGCTTTCGCAGTCAACCATCTTTTATGTGACGGATAGAAAAGTTTGGGGACATCCGTTGTTATGATGATTGGAAAGTGATCACTAAAATTGAGATCATCTAAGACCTTCCAGGATAATCTAGTAGCCAGTTGTGGTGAGCATAGTGAGAGATCTATAGCAGAGGATCCAGCTGTTCTGATATCGAAGTGTGTAGGAGATCCTGAGTTCAATAGAACTAAGTTCGATGAATCAGTGTATTCCTTTATAGTTCGTCCCCGGATATCTCTGCGCATAGATCCCCAAAAAGGTGAGTGCGCATTAAAATCGCCCATCAATATGCCAATCGCCATCAGGTAAGTATAAGCTACACAATGTAGCAGCAAATGGCGTTGTGATGCGAACTGCGACAGCATTGAAGTTCCGTATCCAGTCTCTGTTCCTGCGCTATGATATTCTGCTTTACGAGTAAGGCCACACCACCTCGTGCTCTGCGGTCTGGTATGACATCCTTGCGGTAAGTATTGTAGTTTCTAAGAGAGAAAGATGTCTCTGGACGGAAGTAGGTTTCCTGTAATGCAATACAGAAAGGATCGTTCTCCCTAACCATCACACGAAGTTCATTCACATGAGACACACAACCATTGCAATTCCATTGCTTTATGTTTTGCATATTGTACTAAAAAGTTTAACTCCTACAATTAAAATATGGAGAAATTATCCCAAAAGTTAGAAAATAATGTAAAAGTAAATATTAAATAAATATATAAATACATGGACAAGTAAACAAATATCAAATTAAGGTGAATAAATTAACATAGAATTAAATATTAAAATTTTAACTATCTATTATCACAGGTTCATCACAGTTAGGTTCGCTTCCAATCTGGTTGTCTCCAGATTGTGGGTTTGAAGCATTAGGTTGTCCACAAGACGCAGTATTAGTTCTTGCGTTGATTTGATCTGGCTTGGTTTGAGCTGGAGCAGCCCTCTTTCGGGGTCTACCCTTCGGCCAGCCGCGCTTGCCTTTTCTGGATTCTGGGTCGTCGGTCTGAGATGACGTTAGACTTGCATCAGAGAGATCTGACCCATCAACGGGTGAGGATGCCTTTCTTTTTGATTGATTAGAGACATCTGATTGGCTGTGGTTTCTAAGAGACAAGCTATGTGATACTTTTGGCTGAGGTGTAACGAATTGAGGTTGCTCAATTTCATGGAAGTCTTTGCCTTTCAGTGCTTGAGAAATCGAAGATTGGATGATATTAGTCAGACGTGGGATGATCTTTTCGATAATATCATCATCCTGGCTCTTTTGCGTGGCTTGTGCATACGACACGTTTGGTTGTGGAGTATGCACCACCACCTTTTTCTTGGCCTCAATATAACTTATTTTGTCAGTAGCGATCAGTTTCTGAATAGCCAATTCTGTTTTGTATCTTGGGCATTCCTTCGATGAAGCCACGTGAGGCCCGTGACAATTTAGGCACTGTACCGGGCGATCACATGGTCTTCCCATGTGTAACTCCTTTCCACATATGCATACCTGTTCATTTTGGCAAGACAATGACGTATGGCCGTACCGTTGGCATCTAAAGCAGCGTACTGGTGGGGGAATATACTGCCGAACATCAAGTTTATACATAGCGCATTTAAGTTTCGATGGTAATCTGGGGGAATTGAATGTGATTATGTGATTTGGTGTATCACGCAGTTCATTGTCCCTCTTGACTCTAATTCTCTGTACATGTATTACTCCTTCTGATTTCAGTTCCTCGAGAATTTCACTTTCAGGGCAATTTAAGAGGTCTTTGCAGTACACGACCCCTTTGCTAGAATTTAGCGTTGGGTGGGCTTCTACTGTGACAGGAATATCTGTAAATGCTGTATTCTTATGAGTCTGTGAGACTGGGCATCTGTTTTTGTTTCCACCAATATGCCAGCTTTAATCTTTTTAACAGAGTTAGGGTCTCCTATTATTCCATTTATGGTCTTAGAAATAAGGAATGGACTAACTGTTGCAAAATTATCATTATCAACTCTCTTGATGACAAGGAACCGGGGGACGGGCCCATCCGTCTCCTTGACATTATTGTTCGATCCAGTGGAAGCTCTACATGTAGCTCCACCTTCGCCATCGTTGCCTACATTTAGGGGGGCAGGCACACCCTTGGTTTTTGTTTTGTTTGCCATGCGAAATCCTGATCTTCACTTCCTCGGCTCCCCACCCTCCATGGAGCCTCAACGGGAGATTGTGCTCATTATCGCCTTCCGCTAGAACACAACCCCAGGGATACCGTGAATGTCGAAACAAAGGAAGTATAGTCCCCACAGATAGCTCCATCATACATCGAGGATAGCAAACCATCCTCGTCTGGCTTCTACTACCTGTGGAGGCTCGCCCAGCCAGCCCTCTGACGGGATGGCGCAGCCGATTGACCAACGCTGGGCTAGGCGTGGCCGCGCTTCTAGACTGACCGCCGGACCAAAGTGGCGTGTTGCCCCCCTGACTGGTAGGGCTCAACCACCAGGATTCCATTGGCCAGCTTACGGGTCGCCGGGCACGGCACAAACACCCGGGAGGCTAAGAGGAAGCTCCACACGCCGCCTCAACGCATGGGGTAAGGATAGGAGAGGAAAGTCGAGGGAAAGCGAACAGCTGTACAGGATATAATAAAAGGAGAAAGAATGGGAGAAAAGAGGAAGGAAAGTCCAGGGTTTGGCAGAATTAGTAAGACTACCAAACCCCGAACTCCCTGCCTGGGGCCGTGGGGGCGACGCTGCCCATGTATCTTCTCTTGAAACGGGATCAAAGATCCGGCTTCAAAAGTAGATACCCCCTGCGGGGAATATTATTATTATTATAATTATTGTATTTATTATTATTAATATTATTATAATTATAATAATATTATTATTATTATTATTATTATTATTATTATTATTATCATTATTGTTGTTATTATTATTATAATTATTGTATTATTATTATGATTATTATTATAATTATTATTACTATTATAATTATTATTATTATTATAATTATTATTATTATATACTATTTTACTCCTCTGTCGAAGGTATTAATATTTCCCTCAGGCGGTTAGCCAAAGTAAGGAAATAGATCTGCAGCGGTCTTTTCACCGTATCCGGTTCTCATCTCCTAAAACCCTACGTACTGTCCTACATGTTCCCAGCAGTGCAGCTTTTTGCAGTTGCAAGTATATTTTTGGATGGAGCTGTAGCTTTTCCAGACTCTTGTGTAGTTTCCTTGGTATCTCTCCAGTAGCTCCTATTATAACTGGTATTATAGACACATTGCCCATTTCCCACATGCGTTTGATTTCGTCGGAGAGTGGCAAATACTTATTGATTTTTTCCGCATGGGTGGTTTGGATATTAGTAGGAAGAGGCACAGCTATGTCTATTATAAACGTCGTTCTTTCTTCTTTTAGTGTGAGCACTATGTCAGGAATATTGTTGGGGATGGGCCTGTCAGTTATGATTTTAAGGTTCCAGTACAGCCTAGAGGTCTCCGTTTCTATCACAGGTGGCGGCGTGTATTTATAGTAGGGCTGTGTACCAGTTTCTCCTAGATGCTTTTTAGCCAAAGCTTGATAAAGCATTTTGGCCACATCATTGTGCCTTTCAAGATATTGTTTAGGAGCTAAGGGAGAGCACCCTGCTACAATATGATCTATGTGCTCATCTTTTTCCCCACATATGCGGCATCTGATATCGTCAACGTTCTCATGCATTATACGCTTTCGGTACAACTTTGTTGGGACTACCTGATCCTGGATGGAGGCTATGAAGCCCTCCGTCTCCAGGAACAGATTACCTGACTGCAACCATCCTTGGGAAGCCTTCGTGTCAATGGCGTTGTCTTCTATGCGGCTCCTATACCGACCATGTAGTGGTTTGTCTTTCCATTGGCGAACCAGATCCTGCATTGGGGTTATCTTTGCCTCAGGGTCGAAAGATTTTTCTGAAAGGTTTAGTGGTGTCAACTTTTTATCCGTCTGTGTTATTGCTTGATGCATTCTGCTGGATGTGGCTTTTTGGAGGAAGTACTGGCGTAGATTGTCCACTTGGCGGTGATGTAGTGTAGGTATGCAAGGTATTCCTCTGCCACCCTCACTTCGTGGTAGATGGAACCGCTCTATGGAACTATGTGGGTGGTGTCCCCGGTGTTTACGGAATTCTTTTCTGGTTTCCACATTAAGTGCGTTCAGTTCTGTATCCGTCCAGTTCAGTATGCCAAACGTATAGGTAAGGACCGAAGTAGCGTAGGTGCTGACAGCAAGTGCTGTATTACGAGCTGACAGACTTGTCTTCAGCACCGCCCTCAAACGTGTTCTATAGTGCTCCATTGCCTTTTCTTTTGCAGCTTTCTGGTCTATGCCCGGCGCTTGTAGATAGCCTAAGTATTTATACTGTTCATCTTGCTGCATTCCTTCAATTTTCCCTTGCACTTGGTTCGGCTCATATCCTGAATGTTTACTCCACTGGCCTTTTACCATGCAACTGATCTTGCACTTGTCTAAGCCAAACAGCATCTTGATGTCAGTGCTGAATTTACTTACACAGTCCAGAAGCTTATGAAGATGTTCTTTGGTTTCTGCAAAAAGTTTGAGGTCGTCCATGTACCAAAGATGTGAAATGCGTGTTTCATTGCCACCTAACAGTATTCCTTTCTTTTGGCTATTTAGCATTGTTGTTAACGGTCTAAGCGCTAAGCAGAACCATAGCGGACTTAAAGAGTCTCCTTGAAATATTCCTCTCTTGATGGATACCTCTCCGGCACTGAATTGCGTATCTTGGGTGTTGAGATAGAGCCGTGTCTTCCAATTCGCCATAGCATGTGCCAGAAATTGTTTGATGTGGCACTCGATCCCATAAAGGTCAAGCACCTCTAACAGCCAAGAGTGAGGTATACTGTCAAACGCTTTCTGATAATCGATGTATGCAATGTACAGGGGTATTTTTTTCTTTTTGGCATAATTAGTTATGACAGAGTCTATAACAAGTTGCTCTTTACAGCCTCGAGACCCTTTTCGGCAACCTTTTTGCTCTTCGTCTAGTATAGTATTCCGCTCTAGGTGTGAATATATCTTTTCAGTAATTATAGCAGTCAATACCTTGTAAATAGTCGGCAGACAGGTGATTGGTCGGTATTTTGCCGGATCGTTCGAGTGATCGCCGCACTTTGGGATTAAATATGTTATTCCCATTGTTAAGAACTCTGGCAACATATCTGGTTGCTCTAAGATTGAGGTGTAACACTTTGCGAGTCGATCGTGAGCTGAAGTGAACGTCTTTAGCCAATAATTCTGAAGCTTATCTGATCCTGGGGCTTTCCAGTTTGGTAATTTTCGTAGAGTATTTACCACGTCATCTAAGCTTACTTTCCAGTCGAGCATGGTCCTAAAAGTTGAATTATTTGCTTTCTCTTGGCGGTACCATTTAGATGTGGAATGATTGATTGGATTGCTCCAAATTCCTGACCAGAAGGTATTGATGGCATCTGAGGTAGGAATCTGAACGTTGTTCTGATCTGTATCCCTCCGTCGCGCCTGCAAGTTCCTGTAAAAGCCTCGCTGATTGGTCTCGAATGCTCGATTTTGTTTCCGGCGTTCGTTGCTTTTCTTGTACCTTCGAAGTCGCAGTGCTGTAGCTGCTAGTTTTTGCTTCAGGTAGTCCAAGACTTCTACGGCTGTTGGGTTCTCCTCCGAGCAGTGACGGTTTATCACATTCTCTGCGGATCTCTTTACTCTCAGACTACAGTCAGACCTGCGGTACTGGGTGAGTATTGCTATGTCCTTTCTAATCTCCTCTATATTACGCGATATCCTCATCTCCCAGGCTGGCAGTTTTCTGTTTTTCCTTACACATTGTTCGCCAACTCTCTGTTCATTTAATTTTAGGACTGTAAGTGCTCCAATGTACAACAGGCTATGGAGCTCAGTCAAGGTTGTATCTTCTGTAATCTCGTTATCTATTACTTTGTTAACTTCAGCGATATACTCAGATGTATGGGGTTTTATTATTAGCTTTGGTAGGCTTGGTTTAAGAGTTGGTTCCACACCATCATACTTCATGAACAAGCCCCTGAACTCATCTGCGTATTTAGATGGTTGGCCATCGTTTATCTCAATTTGTTCTTGGTTTTCTGTGTGCTCTTGCGGAGCTTGTACCTGCATTCCAAATTCTATGGATATCTCTTCTCTTATTTTGTTTATCTCCTCTGCCGGCAATCTGTTGTTTATGAATACAGATCGGCGCTGGTCTAGTACGTTTTGCACAGTTTTGCCTTGCAGGTGAGGGAAGTTCATGATAACTTGTCTGTGTAGTTCAGTACCATAGGGCTCTGTAGATGTTTCTAGTTTAGTTATTCTGTAGTAGGAGCGAACCACAAATCTGTTCATTTCAGTGGTCCACGTGGTTCTTTTTCTCCTCCTATTGTCTGGCATTATGGGCTGGGGCTCTTGGCTTCCAGCAACATGATTGCCATCTTCGACCCCAGGAAGCTGTTGGATGGGGTCATTCGAGTTACTTCTCACACTATCTGTGGGGGGCTTTCGCTGGATGACGACCGGGTGCGACCTTCCCCTACGCTCCCTGCCGGACGCGGACCTCGTCGCATAGCGTCGAGTCCCGATTACGTCGTTACATTCCGAGGCTTCATTTTGTTTTTTCTCCATTTCTGGGTAATTGTGTTCTCTTTTGATAGGTAGGTATAATTGTTTACCTAAAAGTGTTTAAACTCAGGCGTGGAAGAGAGACAAAAACCACGCCTGGATGAACAGGAGGTGTGCTGGCCGTACTGACTTTCCTTCGGTGTTAATAACAGTAGCTCAACCACTTGGTCGAGGCCAGACGTTGCGTTGCTGGCTGTACCGTCTACGTCGTTACGGTAGCGGGTTTGAAACTGCTGGCGGCAGTCCCCTTACCGGCCATTATTATTATTATTATTATTATCATTATTATTATTATTATTATTATTGATGTTATTATAATTATTATGATGATTATTATAATTATTGTTATTATTATTATAATTATTGTATTATTATTATGATTATTATTATTATTATAATTATTATTATTATTTTTTTTTTTTTTTTTTAACCCACAGTGGCATCGACAGCTATGGTCATTAGCCACTTCCCTCCTGCCTCATGAGGTCATTAAGTTGAACCTAGCATCTCAGGGATAGATCTGAGAGTTGGATAATATATAGAACGCACACAATCACATACAGTATAAATAATTCATTGCATCATCCCATTTACTTAATTCAGGTATGGAGGTAAAACTGAGTGTTTACCATAGGTAAATTACTACAACATTGAGTTTGTCCTGTTCCTAGTAAAATATTTGGTGTGCCAGACAGAATTCAGGTAAGTTGTGTTAATAATGCATTCTTATATATGATTCATTGTTTTCTTGATACACATATACCCACATATACATATTTTTCGAGATATTTATGTTGGAACTAATATTTTAAGATTTTTATATTGGAAGATTTTTTGTTTAGATTTTATGTAGCATATTTGTCGATTTCATGAAGTTCAGTAAGTTGTTTATGTTTCTGTCGTTTGAAAAGCATTCTTTCAGGTTTCTTGGTATAAAACATTCTAGGCGCTTAAAGTTAAATTTTGGACATTCCAGGATGATGTGTTCTACGGTAAGAGTGCAGTGGCATTCATCGCATAGTATTGGGCTTCGCCCTAGGAGAAGATGTGATGAAGTTAGGTGAGTATGTCCAATCTTTATTCTTGTAAGACAAACTTGTTCTCGTCTAGTTAGGCCTGTCGGATATTTCCATTTCTCGATTGTAGGTTGTAGTATCCTCAAACGACTTATACTTTGGCTCCACTGATTTTGCCAACGTTGATGTATCTGGAGCTTGAAATGGGCTTTTAGGTCTTCAGGAAGTACGGTGCTGACGGGGGTTCCATTTTGGGTCGCGTCACGAGCTGCTGCATCTGCTAGTTCGTTGCCAGGAATATTTACATGCCCTGGAGTCCAAATAAATACGACTGTGTTCGAATTATGCGTTAGTTTATGGCACCGATTAATCACCTGCTGGACGAGGGGATTCTTAGCTTGTTGATTTCGTATAGATTGAAGGGCGGTCATTGAATCTGTACATATGAGGTATGTACTACACCGGGTTGTTTTGTCAAGCAAGTATTTAAGAGCTGCCGAGATGGCATACAATTCGGCTGTATATACGGAAGTAATAGGATTTAGACTATACTTAAAGGTTTCTGTTAGGGTGGTGAAAGCTGATCCTACGCCACTTTCATTTTTCGCTCCGTCTGTGTAGATGACTTCAGGTGTATTATATCTACTTATTATTTCATTGAATTTATGTAGATAAACATATCCCGATGTTATGTTTTTTGGATAAATAGCGCAGTCTAGTACAATATTCGTCCTGGTGTCGATCCATGGTGGAGTTTCACTTGGTTTCTTAGTGTATATGTCAGGGATAACAGCACCAAGGTCGTTTATAATCTCTGATAGTCTGACTCCGAATGGTCTTGTAATAGTAGGTCGGTTGTCGTATTCTTCACTGCTATCATTGTTGAAAATGATATCGTGGTTTGGGTGAGAGGGTTGAGCCCATATGTTAATTCCATAGTTAAGCATTAACTGCGATATGCGTAAATCAAGCGGTGGAGTATTCGCATCGCAATATATCGAGCTGGATGGACTAGTGCGAAACGCACCTAAGCACAGTCTTAATCCTTCACGATGGATGACTTCTAGGGTACGTATATGCGATCTTCTGGCAGCGGCAAAAGCTACAATACCATATTCCATTTTTGACATTACCAGCGATTTGTATAGCGTCAGTAGGACATCTCTGTCCGCGCCCCATTTTATGCTGGAGACGCATTTTATTACGTTAAGGGCTTTCTTGCATCTAACAGCTAATGACTCGATTTGTGGTTTCCACGTAAGTTTACGATC